GCAGTGACATGGCCACAGAGGACTAGAGTGGAAAGTGAAGAACCCAGCTGATATGAAGTGAAGTGAGAAGCACAAGAGCACCCACACTTGCAGATAGTACGTACTTGACCTGGCTTCAATGGTTGGATGATCAGAATTCAACTAGAAGAAAGAAGAGGTGGGGGCGGGAAAAAGAGTAACCGACTACAATTTGATGAAGTTTACCTATACTTATGGATGTAGTAGCTCAAAAAAGGGAACAAATCTTTACAGCAAGGATCACTCCCACCCCCTCGGTATCCAGAGTGACAGGGACGGGCATCTTAGACATTGTTGTTGTTGTTAAGTACCGTGGAGTCAGTTCCGACTCATAGTGACCCTGCACAGGGTTTCTGAGGCTGTAAGTCTTTAAGGGAGCAGAACACCTCATCTTTCTCCCGCAGAACAGCTGGTAGTTTCGAACTGCCGACCTTGAGGTTAGCAGCCCGATTCATAACCACTACACTACCAGAGCTCCTTAGACATTGGCTACCCAAAATTGGGGGCAGTGGGTTATAAAGGCAAGAAGTGACTGTCTTACAAGCTTTCAAGAGGGGACCTAGTTCCAGACAGGGCATGGGTAGGTAGAATCTCCACTGAATGATTTCCAATCTCTTGGGACTGGGCTAGCGAAAGGAAATGAGATAAGACTCTTGTGGTACAATAGTGAATAATTGCTATCAGGACTGACTGTGAGGGTTGGAATTGTAGAGGTAGATGTTTTTTGACAAAAGGAGGGGAGTGATTGATTTTGCATCCCAGGAGCAGAGGTCCCTGGGACCATCAAGTGAGAAGAGCGGAGAGCGGGACTCTACCCAGAGAGGCAGTGATGTGAAGGATGGAGACAGAGAAGATGACATAGACAGATGGAGCAGCTGGGGACACTGGACTCAGGGAGGGAGGGGGCTGTGTCTTGATGGCCGGGGGGCGGGCCTGTGGGGTGTACCGTTTGGTTATTTGATGATGCATGGAGAAGATTGTAATCATTGCAATGAAATGAAATACAATAGAATGAGTGTAAAACTGATATTTTCCCATGTAAATCCACATAATTCACAATAAAATCTTAAAAAAAAAAAAAAAAAATACCATGGCTTGGGTCAGGTACACTTTAGTCCTCAAACTGACATCTTTGCTCTTGAACTCTTTAAAGAAGTCTTGCACAGCAGATTAGCTTAACACGATATGATGTTTGATTTCTTGACTGCTGTTTCCATGAGTGTTGATACTGGATCCAAGCAAAATGAAGTCTTTGACAACTTCAATCTTTTCTTCATTTATCATGATGTTATTTATTGGTCCAGTTGTGAGGAATTTTATTTTCTTTACACTGAAGTGCAACCTATCCTGAAGGTAGTAGTCTTTGATCTTCATCAGTAAATATTTTGAGTGTTCTTTGCTTTCAGCAAGCAAAGTTGTATCATCTGCATATTGCAGGTTGTTAATGAGTCTTCTTCCAATCCTGATGCCACATTCTTCTTCATATAATCCAGCTTCTCAAATTACTTACTAAGCATTCTGATTGAATAAGTATGATGAAATAATACAGCCCTGGTGTATATCTTTCCTGATTTTAAAACATTCAGCTTCTTCTTGTTCTGTTCCAAAAGACAGCCTTTGGTCCTCATAAGCACCCAGAATACTCATTCTCCACAATGTTGTCCATAGTGTGTCATGATCCACATAATCAAAAGTCTTTGCACAGTCAATAAAAACAGGTAAACATCTTTCTGGTATTCTCTGCTTTCAGCCAAGATCCATCTTGTGTCAGCAATGATATCCCTTATTCCATGTACCCATCTGAATTCAGCCTAAATGTCTGTCAGCTCCCTGTCAATGTATTGCTGCAGCCATTTTTAAATTATCTTTAGCACAATTTTACTTACATGCAATATTAATTATATTGTCCAATGATTTCTACATTGTATTGGGTCACCTCTCTTTTGAAGGGACACAAATATGGATTTCTTCCAGTCAGTTGGCCAGGTAGCTGTCTTCTAAATTTCTTGACATGAGTGAGTTCCTCCAGTCTCAGCTTGGAGTTTTGTAATTTGTTGTACCATTTCACAGAACTCACAAACTATCAAGGCAATGACTCACATAGTTGTTTTTGTGGAGGCTGGTAAGTCCCAAATCTATGTGTCAGTCTGGAAGCCTCTCCCTACTCACATGGATGCAGAGGCTAACAAACCTAAAATGGCAAGTCAGATAACAAGATGCTGGCTTGAATTTCAGAACTGGAGATCAGATGATGAAGAGCCAGATGCTGGATTCAGAGCTAGAAAGAGACCTTTGCCAGAGCATTCAATCAATGTATCTTGGATGCAGACCATACCCTCATAAAAACTCCCCTTATTTGGGCATGGTAGTACAAGAGTAGAAAGGTGGTGATTAGCCTAAGGGTGGAAACTAGTGTTAAGGGTGGAGACTTGAATCACATTCTAGTAAAGTGGTGACTCAAGATGCAGCCTCCCAGCCGGAATCTTGTCTCATTTGTATAATAGACAACTCACTCCAAAACGGAACCATAACCACAGGCAAAGAGGCTAGGATTTATAACATATCACAATATGGAAGTTTATAACTAGGAGAGTCATTTAAGTCATTCACTGCACTGCAGAGTGGTATTGACAGAAGGTAGTAACATTTCTTCCTTTTCATAAATTTTACTGTCTTTATCAACAAAAATCTAACCCAGTGTGATACCACAACTATTTATTCAAACTCATTTTCCATGAATTAGAGACTATTGGCAGTAAGATTTTTCAAGCCTTCTTTCACTCTCAAGAAGTCTAGCCTCAGTCCTAGAAATCCTGTTTCTGTCAACCAACTCAAGCTGAGTAGGGCTCCCTGGTAATACTAATTTTTCTAACTGACTTGGGACATTCCACCAACCCACACTAAGGGCTTTACAGATTGTCCTCCATGAAGCAGCGAGAGGCCCAGAAAAGGCAATTCATTCATTCTTTTATCAGGAAAATTTTATTAAGTGGCAAGCATGCGTCTAGGTACTGAGACTACAACAGTGATCAAGACAAACAGGGACCCTGCTCTCAAGGAGCCTAGAGTCTAATGGAGAAACAGACATTAATCAGAAAGTTGTTAGCTTGTTTTTATTAGCTGCTGTAAAGTCAGCCCTGACTCATGATGGGATCATAGTATTCACTATTTCACTTTCAACAGGTCATCAGGCCTTCCTTTCTTAGTTATCTTAGATGAACAGACTTAACTCATCTTAGTCTGGAAGCTCTGCAAAAACCTGTTCAGCATTCCAAGCGTACTATGCAGTAAGGGATTTTGAGAGGTCCTACAGGAGTCCTGGTGTGGTGCTGTGGGTTAACGCGCTGGACTGCAAAGTCAGTTTGAACCACAAGGTCTCCAGCCACTCCTCGGAAACCCTGCAAAGGGTCACTAAGGGTCAAAACCTATGAAACAACAAGGGGAGTCCTGTTGTGGTACTGCACAATAATGCACTGAACTGCAAGATCAGCTTGAACTGCAAGATTGAAACCCACCAGCCGCTCCTCGGAAACCCTATACAGGGTTGCTATGAGTCAGAACTGACTCAATGGCACTTAACATACTACACAATCTCCCAAGAGTTATACACCAGGTAGATGTCTCATTGCATCCATCTTCTCAGCTTGGCTACTCCTCCTATAGCCTACCCCATAAAAATTATGTCAGGGCACAGCTTTCAACTATTACTCGTTGATATCTTTCCCCTAGATAAACTCTCTATTCGTTTGTGTTTGACATCTGTTCCCTGCTGAAACTATGAGTGATATAGGCCTACGTAAAAAGATATGGTTACAGAATCAAAGCCCAGTGCTTATCCTGTAGTGCCACACCAGGCCTAAGCAGGTAGAGTAGGACAACATACTACCATAGCCTAGTTGAAAGCTAGAGTCATAGAAGAGAAGCCTTCCACTAGAAATTTTGTAATATAAAAGTTTGATAGTCACTGTCAGAATTCTTGTTGTTGCCACATGCTGTGGAGTCAGTTTCAACTAATAGCTACCTTATATAGGATTTCTGAGAGCATCAGATGGGTTTGAACTGCCAACCTTGAGGTCGGTGAGCTTAGCAGTCTAGTGTTTACCCTATAGTGCCACACCAGGGCTCAGACGTGTGGCAGAAAGGAAATAAGAGGACAACGTGTTTGTCTCTTTGTATGGGTATCTCAATTTGTCTCTTTCTACCCTCTAATTCTGGTGTGGCACTGTGGGATAAAGCACTGGACCTCAAGGTCAGTTTGAACCAAACTCACTAGCCGCTCCTTGGAACCCATGTACAGGGTTGCTATGAGTCAGAAGCGACTCGAAAGTACTTAACAACAACAACATCCCATTGGCAAAATCTAACTTAAAGTCCAAACCCAACCAGTATATAGGTGATAAAGTCCATAGAGATCAGTCTTCTAGGGTAAGGAAGACTAATTTGGTGAGACTTTTAATGGGAAACAAACAACCAATCATCTCACACTGTCAAGAACACCTTACTTAGAAAGAGAATGACTTTTTGGATTTATTACAGTGTATACTGTGACGCTGTGGGTTAATGCGCCAAACTGCAAAGCAGTTTGAACTGCAAGGTTGGTGGTTCAAGCTCACCAACCAGCTAGCTGCTCCTCGGAAACCCTATATAGGGTCACTATGGGTCGGAACTGACTCGATGGCACTTAACATATTACATTGGTAATAGTTTTTTGTTTTTAAGATAGGGAAAATAGCCTAACACATCACATAGCAAACATTTAGCAGCCTTCCCTGGTGGGATATACCATGGGTTGTTAGAGGGCTAAGCTGCCTGAACAGACTGCCTGAGAACCTCAGAGCACAACCCATTGTGATGAAAGTGGTATGACTCTGTGACTCTAGAATTCCCAGAAGCTCTGATTCAGCACTGGGAGCTTCTGCTCACAGTTTTGTTCAGGGTTCTTGGGTGCCCAACATCGGGGCTCCCGCTTTCCCCAAATCTAGATGAAGTTTCTCTTACTAATTTACCTGCTTGGCTCTGCCAGAGGTAAGTCCTCTACCCTTGTTCTGAGTGAATATATAAGGGACCTATTTAAATTGTTTCAGCTTTTAGAGAAGTACCAGTTTCTTAGTTACCCAAATTAATTTGAGTCCAAATCAAGAATAGCTAAGTAAGCCCACCTCTGAGAGCTCCTGAACCAACTAATTCTTCTTAATTGTGATTTTACAGGGGCTGATTAGTCTGGGACAGTTCTTTAAGTCACTTAACATTTGTGTCTAATTAAAGTTCATGAGTTCTCTGGAAGTCCAATGAGGGTTTGTTCCAACCAGCTGAGTGTAAGGGACCCTCGTGTAGTTAATGTGCCAAGGAAAGATATAAGGTGATGAGACTGTGCCCACAGAACACAGTAGGGCCATGAACCAGAGACATGTTAAGACTCTCCTTCATGGCTGTGTTCTAGCCATTTTACTCTGTATCTCCTTTTAGGATCCCCCATCCTTGTAGGCTATGTTCTCTCCTGCCTCCTACAGGAGAAAAGAGAGACCATGAGCTCTGAGATATGTGTCAGATGACATCTTTGATTTTGCAATGGGCTCCGAAATGTTTTGTTTCTTTCATGTTTGACTCTCACAGGTTGACCCACAAATATAGATGCATAGCCATCAGATGGTAGTACAAGAGGGCTTTTAAAAGTTCATGGAAAAATTCTATTATTTTTTCATTAAATTTTTCCTTGAACTTTTTGAAGCCCCCTCATATGTGCCAGTCACACGGTAAAGCAGTGAGTCAAATCTTTAAGAATGACAGAGAAAAAGACTAGCATACTTTCTTAAACTTCCTTTCTATTAAAAAAAAAATCTTTTTATTAAAATGTTAACTACTGAAGAATCAGGCAGATATTTCTGGATCAAATAAAAAAAAAAAATCTTAAAATCTTTTCCTTAGTCTAACCCTGGTCTTTTAGAAAGTATCTGCAATATGTAGACCCACAGGGAACCTAGGAATCCCACATTAGCTCACTTCATAAGAGATTAGTGTTGGCCACTGACTTTCTCTCTCTTTCACCATTTCTTGTCGGTTCCTTCACTATCCTAGGAGCATCAGGTCAGCCTGATGAGCTTCTTGGCTCTATTGATCATCAAGGCTCAATTCACCAACTTTCAGGTGAGTACTTTTCACTTGCAAACCCATCAGATGCGGAGGCTTTATACGAGTCCACTTCAGGGGAACACTCTTCCAGTGAGCACTCTTCTGGTGAGAACTTTTCAGGTGAGCAAGGTTCTGGTGAACAGCTTTTGGCTGAACAATCTTCCAGTGAAAAGCCTTCAAGTGAAAAATCTCCCAATGAAAAAGCTTCTGGAGAAAAGGCTTCAGGTGAACAGGTATCAAGTGAAAAGTCTTTGAGTGAAAAGGCTTCTGGCGAAAAGCCTTCTGGCGAACAGGCTTTGGGAGAAAAACCTTCAGCTGAACAGGCTTCGGGTGAAAAACCTTCTGGTGAAAAGGCTTCAGGTGAACAACCTTCGGGTGAACAGTCTTCAGTTGAAAAACCTTCAGGTGAAAAGCCTTCAGGTGATAAGTCTAGTGAACAGCCTTCTAGTGAACCATCTTCCGGTGAACAGTCTTCCAGCGAAAAGCCTTCAAATGAACCACCTTTAGGCACATTATCTTCAATCACACCATCTTCAGGTGAGTCACATTTGGATGGTTTCCAATTCTTGCCTTCAAGTGAGGAGTGAGGAACATGTCAAATATTTTAGCAGAGCTTTTAACTGGTTCCTTCTGGTTTGACATCTTTCTGAAATTTGCATTTCCACATTAGATATAGTTAATCAGAATCTATATTTTAACAAGATTCCCGTGACCCCTATATATACATAAAAGTCACCTGAGGATCTATAAGACTCATTTGAGGATCTTGTTAAAATACAGATTCTGATTCAGTAGATCTGGGATAGAATACAAATTCAGCAGGAATTCAATCAGAATAAACCTGCTCAGAGCCCTGAATTTTAGGGAAGGAGCATAGAGGATACCACACACAGCTCTGCCAAACACTCTCCTAGCTCTCTACATGGAGAGCAGATTACAATAATACCAGGAGGCAGGATCCATGTTTTATAGAGTCTTAAAGCTTAAATCATTTGGAGACTTAAGAAAAATAATACAAATATAAAATGTCAGCAGCCCCTCCAACTCTATAAGAATTAACAAACACAAAATGCGCATGACTCCCCTAAAAGCATCTATCTCATGAAAGTACAGAATGTTGAAGACTAACCTTTTTATGATAAAACTTCATGATATCAAAAAGGTATCAAAATTTTATGATAAAGGTTTATCATAAAGTTTTGATACCTTTATGATAAAGCTTCATGATAAAACTCTGTTAGAATGCTATAGCTTTGCAAGCCCCATAAAGAGATGTCTAGCACAGCAGTTCATGGTTTGTTTTTTAACACAGAGTAAAGCATGCAGACATTTTTGCCTGTTAGATCCAGAAGTAAGCTCCCAAGACAACTACAATTTGGGGTCTCTTACTAAAATGGGGTTGTTCAAGGAACATAAACAAAACAAAGTTGGATGCCTTAAATGATTATGACATACATATATTCCATGCCACTGTTGTTGTTGCTAAAAGCCATCGAGTCAGTTCTGACTCATAGAGACCCTGTATAGGGTTTCTGAGAAGTGGCTGGTGAGCTTGAACTGCCGACTTTGCGGTTCAAACAAAGCTTGCAGTCCAGCACATTAACCCACAGCACCACACCAGGACTAGATTTCATACCACTATGTAGTGGTTATGAATCGGGCTGCTAACCTCACGGTCAGCAGTTCAAAACAACCAGCTGTTCCGCAGGAGAAAGATGAGGATTTCTGCTCCCGTAAAGATTTACAGCCTCGGAAACCCTGTACAGGGTCGCTATGAGTCGGAACCGTCTCCATGGCACATCACAACAACAACCTAAGTATTATTGTCCTAAATTTTAAAATGAGAGAAGTAGTATGTCCAAGTCACACACATAGTGGCAAACCTTGGATTCAAACCCGTCTGTCAATACCACAGCCTGTACTCTTTTCACTTCTTTGTGGTTCCTGAACTAGGTGACCAATGAGACAATAAGGAAGCAATTCAAAGGGAATGTCCTTTTGTGACAAATTAACTTTATTTGAAAATGGAGAATTTTGTACTCTCTACACTTTGCGGACTTTCTCTATGCTTTGCAACATTATAGACTTCTAACAATAATCAAATTTGACTCCAAAGTTTTGTGGCCTTGCAGGTGAGAATATAATGGGGAGTATGGATAGGAGTCAGTTTCATGGCAAATTCTACTTTGTTCCTTCACATTTATAAAGGCCCAGGAGACCATGGACTGGAATAAAAGTATTAGATAAACTTGGGGACTCATCATTAATGGTCACAGATGAAGCAATATTAATTTCCTCTATAACAGAAAAGAGACTATGCTCTATCAGACATAGGGCACTCAGATCCCCAACAAGAACAGAGATGAATGTGTTGTAGCCTGGCTACTTATTTTGCCCATCATCCCTCCCTTGATATAGGATTCAAGGCTACACACCTGATTCATGAGAGAATTCATCAGGTTTATCTTAAAACTTTCAGGCACAGGATTAAATTGTCACACATGCTCTTATATGAATGATCAAGGAAAATGTCTTCGTGGGGAAGGAGTTTGTTCCACTCAGAATTCCCAGCAGTGCATGTTAAAGAAGATCTTTGAAGGTACGTGGGACTTCATGATACAGGCTTTGCCAGAGAATACTTATTGAGGCAGAAGGATGGTAGGGGCTTGGTGAGAGATCAAACTGTGATTCACCAGGACCTTGGAAATTGAGAATTTTATTCTCTCAACAAATAAAGAATCCCAGTCACTAGTAGAAGAAACCCTTTTCAGACCTAAGACTTCTTAAAAAGCAGCAGGCTGGCTATTCTATTTTCAGTTATGCTAGTAGCCATGTAGTTCACAGGGTGAGAATGGGTGATGGGACAATGAAACCCTTGAGGCTGAATTGGGGAAGGTAAGTAGGCTCTACAATTTGTGAAGCTTAAAATGAAGAAATAAGTTTGACACACAGATGAGACTTATACATCTTCCTCCACGTTCTTTCATTTGTACTCACTCTTAGCCTTTGAATGACTGCTTGGACCACTTGTTTTACCCCATATATTTTCAACATGCAATTGGTTCAATCTATGGATACAGAGCCCTCAAGTACAAAGGGCCAACTGTACTTTGTATCCCTCCTTACATTTACTCCAGCTTCTTACTTCATTTTCTGAACATCATTTCATATTTCCATGCATTTTCTCATGCTATGTTTCAGCTTGGAACGATCTCCCCTCCCTTCAGTACCTATCAAAATTCTATCCATTCTTCACAATTCAATGCTATTTCTTTCCTAAGACTTTCTCTGCTTCTGTGCTCCAACAGTCAAAATATCAAAATTAATCACTTTTTAATTTACTAATGTAGCATAAGCAAGGCTTTTCCATTTCATCTCATGTAATAACTTATTTTTATGCTTATTGTTTTTATTTTCACCAACTCTTAAGATCAAAGACCTTGATGTTGCTAATCTTTGTATTCTCCAGTGTCCAGTATAGTTCTTTGCATAGTTGTTGATGAATGCAGTTGTCAGAATCCTTTAAATAATTGTTGTTAAGTGCCATCAAGTCGATTCCAATGCATAGCGACCCTGTATAGGATTTCCAAGGAGCGACTGGTGGGTTTGAAGTTCCAACCTTGTGGTTCACAGTCCAATGCTTATCCTACAGTGCCACACAAGGAGTTGCTGTTCTTAAGTGCCGTTGAGTCGATTCCAACCCTTAACAGCCCTGTATAGGGCTTCCAAGGAGCAGCTGGTGAGCTTGAACCACTGACCTTGCAGTTCAAACGACTTTGCAGTCTGACGCATTAGCCCACAGCGCCACACCAGCACAAGGAGTAGGGGTCCTTTAAATGTTTGATGAAATGAAATAGGCTGTTAGGAACAACACAGATAGTAAGAGTAGAATTGACAGGTCTTCACAACCACTTGGATGAAAAGGGCAAAAGGACGAATCAGAGATGACAGATTTTGAGAAAGCCGTACAGAAAAATATTTTTAAGAAGCTCAGGAAAATGAGATTTAGGGAGACTTACATTTGAGCATAGTAAATTCTAGATGTTCTTCGCATATCTGCATAGAGATGAATGAACCTTCACCCACTTAAC